CGCGCTCTTGATTTAAATATATTACAATTCACCTCCAGAAGAGGTAATATGATTGAGAGAATATATACTCAATATTTCGTATTTTAATTTGCTCCTGAAGTAGTAAAACAATTAAAATTTTCTCGTGAAGCAGGAAAATATTATGAAACTGTGTCTTTTTGTGCTTAAATAAAATAATGAACTATTCAAAGTTATTTGTCAAGCACATTTTCATTCTCTGGAGTGAATGAAGAAATACCACAACTCACCTCCTGAAGAGCTAGAATAACAGAGGATATAAATATTATTTTTGTGGCATGAAGATCATTACCGCACGTACCTGTTGTGCGTAAAACATCTTGAATAATTTTATTAAGTATCATTCTAAGGCAAAAGCATTCTTTTAGAATGCTTTCTACTACAACCATATTAATATGTTATGGTTAGTTATCGAGTTCCCCGAAGGAAATAATAACTCATGTATCTTTCCCCGAAGGATATAATGACTATGTGGTTGCCGATTCGATATAAAATATTCAGATGTTAATGGCGTTTCTCCCTGAAGGAGATATTTGTCACAAAGTTGGTGGTGAAAATACTGAAATTCTTAATTTTTTACATTTATAAATTTAGAATTGTCTTTATAATATTCATTTCATAATGATTTTCTCTCATGATGCCAGAAGTTTCTGAGCAATATTTGATAGTACAAAATATATCAACAACTCCTGAAGAGCTAACTGTTTGTCTAGAAGACATATGACACTAGTAGTGTCCGATAAATATTAGAATGTGGATAATGAATGAAGGCTCTTGAAGAGCTTATATACAAATATGTCATTCATATTATATGATTATTGTCAAAATATATGTTGTAGTAAACTTGAAGTTTACTAATACAAATGACAATCATACTGAGACCACAAATGATTGAAAGATTGAAAATCTTCATGTTTCCACAATCATAGGGGGTAAATATGAATGTGAGAAGTTACCCGCCTTATTCTTCAATTTGTACTACATCATGTATCACAGTAAACTAGAAGTTTACTAATGCAAAAGCAGCTACAGTATATCAAAAATTTACTATACAAAAGTAGCCACAGTAAATCAGAAGTTTACTAATACAAAAGCAGCTACAGTAAATCAGAAATTTACTTATACAAAAGTAGCCACAGTAAATCAGAAGTTTACTAATGCAAAAGTTTGTGCCATAGTAAACCAGAAGTTTACTAAGAGATAGCATATGCCATGATAAACTTGAAGTTTTCATTTGCCATTTCAAATGAGCTATTTGAGAATTCAGATAAGCATATACTGAAGAACTAGAAGATTTTTCAAGAATTCTTCTGTGTTGCTTGTTCTCATAATAAATTAATTATACCAGCTAAAGTTGGGACTATGACCCCTGGTTCTGAAATATATAAAAGGTGAATATGAGCCCATTCACCTGTCATGTGAACCACTTATAGATGCATATATAAGATGGTTACATGTATATTTATTGTCAACCTGCAGTTTGACATTTGAGATTGCTTTTCTCAATTAAGAGCATAACTTTCAGATTATGAAATCAAGACAGTTCATCTTGATAATGCTGGTTTATATCCAAGCTGGTTTAGCATTGAATACCTCCTACTAATGGCTAAACTATTGATTATGAGAACAAAGCTTCATGTGTTGGTCTAAGATATTCTAAATTGCATACAACAACACTTGTATGCATCAGACCAACAATATATGACTAAAGTACCCCCCCCCCCCCCCACCCAATTGGTTTAGGATCAGAAATCAAATATTTTTACTATCTTTTGATGTGTGGTATATGATTAATTTCTCTACCACAATACACAAAGATATGTTTCCCAAAGAAGATTGGGAATATATGTTAGTTTTTCTAACATTTGGGGGATATAATAAACAACTGAAAAAATATGCTATATGAATCGAATTATCATTAATATGGTCCTCACTTAGAAGATAATTCAAGTCAAATGCCAGAAGCATTTGCTGATCCAAAATTTAATATCATATTTCAGTTGCAAATGCTCCTATTAAAATTAAAGTCCCTGAAGGATAGAGTTTATTGTACGCATGAAGCATGGTAGACCAATCGGTCCAAAGGTAACAATCCTTGAAAAATGGTAGGAGCTAATGATCAAAATGATCATTAATGAGGAGGAAATAAGCTCTAGAAGAGCCCACGACATAACATTTCATGAAACTCCCGAAGAAGTTCAGGTACCTGAAAATAAAGAAAGTGATGAGATCTCAACAAGTTATGTCGCTTAGGAACTGATACAAAATGATTGTCGACGATATATTAGATACAATATAGTGCACAATATTGTAAAAGATTGTGAGGATCGGACCAGTAGTCCCGAAACCCGAAGATGTCATACCATTTAGATACAAGTCATAACCTATATGACTTATTTGATTAAATCTATATGAAGATCCTTGAAGGATTTAAAATGCCTGAAGCATATAATTCAAAGTCTTGAGAAATGTACTCAATCAAATTATAAAGATCTTTGTACGGTTTAAAGCAATCTGGGCATGTGTGGTATAATCGCCTCAGTAAATATTTGTTGAAAGAAGATTACATAAATGATGTTATTTGTCCATGTATTTTCATAAAGAAAATGGCATCAGAATTTGTTATACTTGCTGTTTATGTTGATGACATAAATCTTGTTGGAACTCTAGAAGAGCTCCAAAAGGCAACTGAATATTTTACGAAAGAATTTGAGATGAAAGATCTTGGAAAGACAAAACTTTGTCTTGGCCTGCAAATTGAATATTTAGCAGACGAGATCTTTATCCATCAATCTGCCTATACAAAAAGGATCTTAAAATGCTTTTACATGGACAAAGCATACCCATTGAGTACACCAATGATTGTTCGATCACTTGAAGTGAACAAGGACCCGTTCCGACCTCTAGAAGAGGATGAGGAACTCTTTGGTCCTGAAACACCCTATCTCAGTGTAATTGGTGCACTTATGTATCTTGCTAATGCTACAAGGCCTGACATAGTATTTTCTGTTAATTTACTAGCAAGATATAGCTCTTCTCCTACACGGAGATATTGGAATGGGATTAAGCATATATTGCGATATTTAAAGGGAACTCTTGATATGGGTTTATTTTATGCTAACAAAGGTAGTACAGACCATGTTGGTTATGCGGATGCAGGTTAGTTATCTGATCCCCATAAAGCTCGATCTCAAATCGGGGAATGCGTATGGTTGAGATCAGTGATTCATTCGAGAAAATTGTGGTTTGGAATTTGATAAAAGATCCACAATTTTATACGAAGACAATGCTGCATGCATGGCCCAATTGAAGGGAGGATTTATAAAAGGAGATAGAATGAAGCACATTTCACCAAAATTATTCTACACAGATGATCTTCAGAAAAATGGTGACATTGTTGTGCAACAAATCCGTTCAAGTGAAAATCAAGTAGATTTGTTCACTAAATCTTTGCCAACTTCAACTTTTGAGAAGATAGTATACAAGATTGGAATGCACAGACTCAAATATTTGAAACAAGGTTTTCATCAGGGGGAGTGAAGCGTTGTACTCTTTTTCCATTACTAAGGTTTTTCTCGTAAGGTTTTTAATGAGCCAGCCAGAAATGCGTATTACTAAATATGTGTACTCTTTTTCCTTCACTAGGATTTTTCCCACTGGTTTTTTCCTAGTAAGTTTTTGTGGATGTTCATCCAAGGGGGAGTGTTATGAAAATAATTATATTGCGGATGTTCATTTAATACTCCGTTTTAGATAATCTTCCTGAAGAAGATATCCATTTAGTACTCCATTGAAGTTTATCTACAAGCAGCTGATGCAGGTAGGTTGCAAGTAACTCAATGAAATGATTTGCAGCAGCTTCTTATTAAACAGGCAGGTTGCAAGCAGCTCATGCAGACATCTTACAAGCAGCTCAAGAAAAGCCTTGCAGCTGCTTCCTGAAAAGCCTCGCAGCTGCTTACTTTCTTCTATAAATAGAGGAGTTTTCAGTTCATTATGTACTTCAGTTTGAAGTTGAATAATATCAATCTCTCTATACTTGTCTTCAATTTATTTACTTTACGGTCTTTATTTTATAACAATGGGTACTTTAAAACAACTTCTTTTTTCCATTATAACTTTGGATTTACTTCACGCCTTTTATAAATATCTATAGAAGCAAATAGGAAGCTTGAAGAAGAAAGAAAGAGTAGTAAAAGAAAAGGGGAAGAGAAAATGTGTTTTAACATTACAAAAGTCTACAGAGCTTAGGACTATAGCTTCATCTTTTATCTCCCAAAAAACTCCTGACCCACCCCACAGGTCATTTGATTAAAATAGTGAATTTCTCCAACTATTTTGGCCACCCCCTTTGTTTCTTCATTAAAAATAGTATTATTCCTCAAACAAACTCACGCGTTTCCCCGACGCCATCTCCACGCTCCCGCTAGTTTTTATCCTCAAGGCTCAAGCTGTACTTTCTTCGTATGGAAGATTCTTTTTATTACCAAAAAAGCAAAAGAAGATTAAATCTAAAATTTTAAAATCAATATTAAGTCACGAAAGTTATTTTATACCAAGCTTAAATAACATGTTGTTGAAGCATAGTAGTGACATAAACATAATATCAACTTCTATTTCCACTAATTGTAGTGAACTTTAATTTTAATACTTTGACTTTTTACTCATGACATCAAAGCTCATAATATTGTATTTCAAAAGCGAAAAGTGCAAAAGAAAACAATAAAAACAATAAATAATCGAAATTTATATTTTTTTTGAAACTTAGATTAGAAGTTATTATCTTCGCTTTAATTTATATGGCAAAAGTTTAAACGAGCACAAAATTTAAGAAAAAAAAATTTATGTATAAATATATTATAATATTTGTATGACACTGAAAACACCTAAATTGCCTGTCCTTCTCTATCCCTTCCCACGTAACCCACCATCCCCTTTCAACACGAAGTAACATAGCACGCTATATATACATATACACAAACTCTCTTCTCACACATCAACTCTCTCTGCCCACTTGCTTCAAGAGTAAATAAAAACCCATTATTGAAAAAATAATAATCCAATCCAAGAAAATGGGATTACAAAACCAATTAACCGATGTTTCTTCTGAATCTATCCCAATTTTACTCGTTACCCTTCTCGCCAACTGTGCTACTTATCTCCGTTCCCTTATTTTCGCTTTCCTTCAATTCTTCGGATTATCTTCACTGTTCAATCCGGTTCAAATTGACGACGCACTATACGACGCCGTCGGGTCCGGTTTAGCTGGTGTTGTTATGTTAACCGAGCAGCTGAATTTTAACCGGCTGTTTTCGTATACGTTATTTGATGATCAAGGAGATGATGCGTCCGGTTCGAACTGTGTTGTTTGCTTGAACCGGTTGGGTGATGGTGACCATGTGAGGAAATTGGCGTGCCGGCATGTTTTTCATAAGCAGTGTTTTGACGGGTGGTTGGATACGTTAAATTTTAACTGTCCGATTTGCCGGTCGCCGTTGGTTTCCGATGAGCGCGTGGCACTCGCGAAGCGGCGCGTTGCTTGGGATGTGCTTGAATGGTTCTCTCTAAGGTGAATGAATGAATATATATGGCTGGCGACGATGATGATGATTACGTGGAATTTCGTGATGAGGTTTTTTAAAACAGTTTTTTTAATATTTAATTTAATTTTTTTTTAGTTTTTGGGAATTATTGTTTCCAGTTTTTTTTTGAAGAGCTTGATGTGAAGTTCTTTTCCACTACTGTGAAAAACATATGTTGTTGGTAGTGTTTGACTGGAGTAATATTTTGTTTTTGCAATTTTCTTTCCCTTTTTCTTTTGTAAAATTAGGAACATTTATGTCATAAAAGGGTTATAGAGTAATTGTATTTTTTAATAATTTTATTGGCTCCGTGCTTTAATTTGAGAATATTTTCTTAACCCTGTTTTTCTCTGCATTCAAAAAGGTTATTTTAAGTGCATAAATTATGATAAGTAACGCTACATTTATTCCTTTTCTCAAGGTGTTTGGACCAATCTTCTTTAAAACAAGAGTCACAAATAAAATTTGTCAAATGTTTGTGAAAAAACAACAACTATGTAATGAAAAAGGTTATTGTTTTAAGGCGAAATACATAAAGTGTCCATTTAAGTTGTTCGATCAACTGAACACCTCAATCGAGTCATTTTTCATTTTAACGCTTCAAGTTGCTATTAAGTAGGTTAAGTAAACACCCGATTATATTTTGTTTGTCAAAAGGTTATTTGTCAAAAGGTTTTCCATTCTCTTGTCTGTTGTTTGAAAATGGCGAAGTGTCTCTGTTGTTACAAATTGGCTTGAGACTATTGAAATTGGACCAGTAAACAAGTTGCGAAGAAATAAGTGGCTGTGAGGAAGAGAAATAGTTGCTGCTGTTACAATCTAAGGCCCGCTTCTCCAGCGTTCTATCACATGGGTTGATTACGACATTTTCCTTTTTCATGGGCCTTCTCTCATGGGCCCACAAAAAGTTTCGTGCTTCAAGTTTCTTTCTATCTTGGTCGTATAATAAAGAGAAATTTTCATAAAGCACTATCTTTTAGTAGTAATTAGCCATCTATAGATAGCATTTGCTATATTACGGATTATAGATACCTTTTCTGTGGTTATAAGATGTATTTGATGTATTTAAGCTATTGTATTCATGAATACAGTAGCAAAAATAGGCGTGAATCAGGGAAATCCAGCTAATTAGTTGTTGTATTCGAGTGTATTCGACTGTATTCATGGAGTGAAACATGGGATTATAGCTGGACAGATTATTGTATTCGACTGTATTCACAGCGTGAAATAGGGGATTACACTGTTTTTAAAACGGAAAGTGAATCAATTAACATAATAGACTCCTAATATAACTCAACAAACTCAATTATAACACACAAATTTTGTATTTTTAGTTATAAAAAAGATTTTCAACTGAAAAATACCCCAAAAACATAGCAATCTGCAGAGAAATTATATAATACATCTGAATACATAAATTATATTAATTAAAAAAAATATATGAATACATTCATGACATATAGCGAGACAGTGAATACAATGAAATACATAGAATACAGCGGGATACATTGAAATACAATGAAAAAAAAGACAGTGAATACAATGAAATACATGGAATACAACGAGATACATTGAATTACAATGAAAAAAGACAATGAATACAATGAAATACATGAAAATATATTGAAATATATTGACAGAAAATCAAGTTGCTCAACCCCAAACTCCGTCGTCTTTGTTCAAGAACAAACCCTAATTTCCGGCGATTCCGCCGTAGCAACGTTTGAAGGTACAACACTGTCCGCTGTTCCGTCGCCGCAGCTCCATCGGCCACCGTATCCAAGGCTTTTATTTTGTCGGTGGTCAGATTGAATTAATTCTCATTCTTCTCTTTGCTATTCATGGCATTTGTTGTTCCTCTGTTTGGTTCAACGACTAATTCCAGGTTCAGCGATTAACTCCCATTCCCAAATCAGTTAGTTTTGGTTAGGGATTTGATTTGCTTTTAAATCGCAATTCAATATTCGGTGCAAGAATTGATCGGAATGAAAAGAAAATAGTGTGGGTGAGAGGAATTTTGAGATTGAGCATCGTGTTTTCAGGGAATGGGGGAAGAGAATGGGATGTATAGAGAGAAAGAAAATAGTGTAACTGAATAGCGTATTTTGTGGCTTAGGGCTAGGAGGTAACCAAAATTAAATATTTTGCTATAAACCTTAAAAGGTATCTATAGAATATAATTTTTTTAAATAGTATTTATTTAAAATAAATAAGTGTTAACCTTTGCTATAGGAGGTAAAAATTCCTATAATAAAAAGAGAAAATCTCACTTTATACCCATTAATTCTAAACTATTTATCCTTTAATACCCAGGCCCAAGCTATTTACCACTCCTACCCATGGGGCCCAAACTATTTACCCGGTTAAAATGAAACAGAAGTAGAAGAAACTGGTAAGCAGAAGTGGCAACACCGAATATGAATTCGGGAGGGAAGTCAGCATGAGAGAGTTGGTGCTTAGAGCTGTAAATGGAGTTCCATTCTTCCTCTATTTTCTTCTTCTTCTCTAAACCCATTAGTTTTCTAGAGTTAATACTTGAATTCGTTTCCATTTCTATTATGGGGTTTAATTCTAAAATGATTTTCCAGAACTTTAAACTGAACAAAAATGGAAGTGACCTGTGAAATAGTGAAAGTGAAGAGAATACGACGGAGTGTACTTTTCTTTTTTGTTTTTCCTTTTCTCTATTTTCACTCTAACTGTTTTGTGTATGTCTTCACCGCCTTCGGTCATCTTTTTACCTGTTTGCAGAATTATATCGTGAAAAGAAAAGAAAAATTATTTTCACAATTTACCTGTTTTCAAAATAAATCTCAATTGTTTTTACCATAGTAGGTAAAGGTCATTTACATGTTTGCAGAATTTTTCCCTCACTTTGAAATAGAGGGGAATGAATCTGGACCGCCCATACGAGTGGGGACAACAAGTATCAATGTATCCCTGGAGAGATCTATGGAAGTTTGTGGGAAAATTGTGTAATGTACTAGTATAGAATATTGTAATTGGAACAAAATAGAAGAAGGAAAGCTTTATTGATCAAGGAAACGATTGTTCATCAATGGGGATTACAATAGTTCTAGCTATTTACATAAGACCTAGCTAGATACTCTATAGAATTACCTGAGAAATTAAGAAAAGAAGGAAGTTAGGATTGAGAAAGAAGAAAGAGAAGAGAGAGAAAAGAGAGAAGAATTTGTTAGGGAGTAACTGAATTTACCGGAAAATTGACAATGCTTCCCCCTTCCAATTGTATATTTATTGTCTGTTAATGTTGGTTGGGCTGGTACAAGTGGGCCGCCGGCTTTCTGATTAACTTGGCCCAATATGTATTCATTTATACTGGCCCAAAGACTTAACCCATAGAAGCTTCTACACCCCACTATAGTAATACCCTATCTTCTACTTTCCTAATTCCGCCTCCGTCGTTACAAGTTGTTTGTTTTTATTTATGTGCGCCTGAGAATTGAATAAAATAAAATTTACCGTATTTAATTGCTGGGGAGTTAATAAATGGAAGGAGAACATGTATTGAGATTTGTTTTGAAGCTCTTGAATTTAAAATTTTTATTTTAAAGATTTCTTGTTTGATTCAAAGTGGGTGCTGTTAAATGTTGCTTATAGTACCTTCTGAAAGTTCATACTGAAATTTGATAGCATTTCGAGCTGATTTGAGGTGATTGAGATCAAAATTTTCAGCTGAAAATCGAAGAAGAACACAGCTACAGTATACCACTACGGTATACAATATGCTGTAGGAGTATATAGCTATGCTGCAACAGTATACTATTATAGTTTACAATTTACCGCAACGGTATATTGTAATAATCGAAGAAGAACACAGTTACCTAACAGTATATCGCTACAGTATACAATATACTACAGGAGTATATAGTTATACTGCAACAGTATACTATTATAGTATACAATATATTGTTATAGTATACTTTAATAAAATGCAATATACTGTAACAGTATGCTGTAATAGTGTACAATATACTATAATAGTATACTTATTGTCACACCTCCTTTTTACACACCACCCCTGAAGGATAGTGTATAAGGGAGTTTTTCCACTTTAAGTGACATTATTCAAAATGGGATTATTTAATGATCAGAGTCGCCACTTGGGATAGGTTTGGTTTCTGGTGTCCCAAGTCACCGGTTTATTTTGAATCCCAAATCGAGGAAATTTTCGACTTTCCAAGTGAAGTCTGCGAACCAGAAATTCTTGAGTAAGGAATTCTGTTAACGCGGGGGAAGGTGTTAGGCACCCCCGGATTCCGTGGTTCTAGCACGGTCGCTTAAACCATCATAATTGGCCATTACCTGATTTTAATACATGTTTCAACCTATAGTGCAATTTTAAATCATTTACCGCTTTATATTAATTTCAAGGAAAATTGCAACGTTATTAAAATACGTCTCGAACCACGTCACATAAATGCACCCGTAATTTTTGACATATTTTAACATCGTTGAGATTTGGATTTGGGTCACATAAATGCGCACCCGAGTTTAGGAAGGTAGATTTATTAAAATGTGCGCCTAAAGCAACTAACGTGTTGATAACTTTGCGGGGGGCCATGAAAGTTCGCTAGATGGCGCATCCCGTGTTCTAAGTATTTTAATGGAAGTAATTAAAGAGGGACACTCAATTTGTGATTTTGGTTTGGCGCGGCGCACCTCGATCCCATTTTTAAAGGATATTAGACCAAGCTTGAAGGGTCGTGAACTATTACGTTATCTAAGATGACCTTCCTAGAATTATTCTAATGGTCCTATTAATTAACTAAAGTCATAAGAGCTGGATATGGGTTGTGAATTTAAAATCTAGTTACTAAATACAAGGGCATCCATGTGACACAGCTGGGCCTGAAGAGAAGCCCAATATTTAATATTTAAAATCACTGAAGCTGCTCGCATACTAGCGCCTCAGCTGTAAAGCTGTTCAATTTTTTTGGGCCCATAAACAGGCCCATTTCAATCACCTGGCAGCCTATATTGACACTTCAAGTAACAAGTATAAGAAGATAAATTTGAACTTTGTTTATTTTTCTTTTAAATTCGAAATTATTGATTGGTTATCACAGTAGCGATTTCCTTAAAAGAGCTAAGACAATTTAAAACAACTAAAACAATTTAAAATAACCAAAAATTAAAACAGCTAAAACAAATAAAACTGCTCACTATCCAATTTTAAAACAACTAAAACAATTTAAAAACAACTGAAACAATTTAAAACAACTAAACAACTAAAACTATTCACGATACACTAAAACATTTAAAACAACTAAACAGTTATATTATCAGATCGATTTCCTGTATTGACTTTAAAAGC